GTGGTCCTACTATCACGACTACTACTACTATTACTACTACTACTACCACTACTACTACGATTACTACTACTACGACTAGTACTACGATTGCTACTATTACTACTACTACGAGTACTACTGCTACTACTACTACTATTGCTGCTGCTGCTGCAATTATTATGACTACTACTATTACTACGACTACGACTGATACCACTACTACAACTACTACTGCTAGTTCTACCATGATTAGTTCTACTACCACGACTGCGACTACTAGTACTACTACTACGACATACTACTACGAGTAGTACCACCACTACGGTTACTACGACGAATACGATTCAGACGACGACGGCCTTTACTACTACTACTACTACTACTACTACTACTACAACCTCTACTACAACTACTAGTACGACTATTTTTACTGCAGCTACTACGACTACGGAGACGATTACCACTACGTCCACGGCTACTACCACTGTTACCAGGACTACGATTACAAATGGCAATCTTACTAATACTACGACTATGTCTTCTTGTATTACTACTACTGAGACATTTACTACTACTTTTACTACTACTATTTCTTCGACTACTACAACTAGTACGACTACTACGACGACGGCCTAGTAGTATTACTAGTACGACGACGACGGTGATTGTCATTAAGACGGCTAGTATTGCTACTACGGCTATTCCAAGTACTACTACTACTACTACTACTACTACTACTACGACCACGACCTATTAGTACTATCGAGTGTGTTAAATTCAGTCAGTTCTAATCGTATTCCAATTCACTTTCACTAACCATAACTAACGCTGCTAGAGTATAACCGTATTCTGCTTAACAGTGCATGCTCCCGAATTGCATAGAGACTGTTAGCTAATGAAAATCTAGTTGTCCCCCAAGTCAATTTTCATTGCAGCATGCTTGCATTTTAATTGTATTCTGAGTATTTTCTAAACGCATTGTAATACAATCGTAGGTGTATCAGAATTGTAGTGTAGTGTATGTTCATGGTACCCCAACTAAATTCGAATCCCATTCTTAATTACATCCTGAATGTAATGTACTTAGATTCTAATTGCATCCCAATTACATTGCAATTCCATTCCCATGAAGTTCTGATTGTCTCCGGATTGCAGTCTTACCTGGATTCTTATTAATTGCGTCTAGTTGCGTTCTAATTGCGTTCTAATTGCGTTGTAATTGCGTTCTAATTGTTTACAGATTGCAGTCTTATTGCGTTCCAGTTCAATTACAGGTCATCATACTTTCATTGCGCTGGCTTTCCCATTGTATCCGGTGTAGCCTAACGAACTTGTAATTCCATTCTAATCGAATTCCATCTTTAATATAATGCCATTCCACTTGTATTCTATTTAAGTTCGCACTGTATTAGATTGAAGTTCTAATGATATTCCCTTAAAACTACAATCCAAACCCGAATCCGAACCCTTACAGTTACCCTTACCCATTCAGTCTCAGCAAACACGAACGTGGCGTGTGACGCTACTACGATAACGACTATTACGATTACTATTACGACTACTACTACTACTACTACTTCTACTATTAGTATTACTTTTACTACTACTACTACGACTAGTGATAGTATTACTACTACTATCACGAGTATTACTACTACTACTAAGACTTCTACTACTACTACTACTACTACTACTGCAACAACTGTTTTACGAGTAGTACGTCTGCTACGATTACTACGACTACTTGGCTTAAGACGACGACGGTTATTACGATTCTTATTATTACTTCTACTACTACTGTTCCGATTCGTATTACTACTGCAAGTACGACTACGATTACGATTACGACTACGACTACGACTACGACTACTACGACTGTCATCAGGGCTACTACGACTAATAGGAATCATATTACAACTACGACTACTATTACGATTTCTTATTCTATTACTAGACTACTAGTAGTATTACTAGTACACATACTACGACTACTATGACGACTAGTACGCCTAGTGCGATGACGACCTGGTGCTACTACTACGACGACGATGGTTACCATTACTACGGCTACTATTGTTACGACTTCTACTCCTACTTCCACCTACTACTACTACTACTACGACTACTACTTTATTACTACTACTACTACTACTACTACTACGACTGCTACTATTACTATTCCTACTACTACTACTACTACTACTACTACTACTACGACTACTATTACGACGGCCACTACTACGACTACTACTACTATTGTTTATTTTGCTACTGTTACTGCTACGATCCAGTAACAGATGGGCTTGTTCACAAGCGTTAGGTGTTACGAACGCGCTCGCCCCTCTAAGGTTCCAGTGAGGAGTCAGATTGCAAGAAACACTTACCCCGACGGAAACGCCCCACATGACAATCCTTATGGTTAATCCGGAAATAACCTTCACTGTCGTCCTCGCGATTAGTGAGGCGTCCTTATTGTCTTCCCTGCGCCATTATCATGCTCGCCCTGGCGCAGGGCCCTCACCCGCTCCCCGCGTTGCCCTTGCCTCGCCCTCCTGCTGTTTGTTTCGTCACCCACCACCTTCTTTTTTTCTACAGCAAGAGCGCGCGAGGCGATGTTCCCCGACGCCGTCGCCGCCTCGGCCAGCGCGGGCGCATTCTCGAATGGCCGCGTCGCGCGGCCGTTGGAACAATTCCACGGGCCAGACCGTTGGGGCAACCGCGCGAGCCGTTGGGGCGCGGGAGCAAGCCGTTGGGACAACCCCGCAGGCATCGAGCTAGTCACGGCCGCGTTCAGGCGGGAGGCAGCACGAAGCCAAGCTCTGTGGCGACCTGCTCGGCCTCATCCGTGGGGCTCTCCGCTTTCTCGCCGAAGTTTTCGAGCGCCTTCCGCAAGGCGTTCCCGCCTGAGACTTCCTCACATTTCACTCGCAGACGAGGCTCCCGCAGGATAGTTCCCCCATTGCAGGCCTCAATAACCCAAAAGGGACGACAGTTACAGGTTCGAGGAAGACCCGCTCGGATTTAAATCAGGAATTGCGGCCCCATGGGAAAATGGCCCCCGCCCAAGATTTCCTTTCAATTCACTCACAGACAAGCCTCCCGCCTGTTGCTTTTCCAAAGTTCAGGCATCAGGAACCCAAAAGTGACGACAGTTGCAGGTTCGACGATGACCCGGTGGGAGTACCAACGTGTAGCCTGGGACCCATAGGGAGTCGGTTCCCGCCGGAGATCTCCTCACGGTTCATTCACACACGAGGCTGCCGCCGAATACTTCCCCCATAGTCAGGCTTCGAGCCAAAAAGTGTCGACAGTTACAGGTTCGAGGATGACCCGCTTGGATGACCAACGTGAAGTGCGGGACCCATGAGGAGGGGGCTCCTGCTTGATATTTCTTCACAATTCACTTACAGACGAGGTTCCTGCCTGATATTTCGTACAAATTCAGGCACCAGGAACCCAACAGTGACGACAGTTACAGGTTTCAGGATTACCAACGTGAAGTGCGGGCCCCATACGGAGGGGGTTCCCGCCTAGGACTTCCTTGCAATTCACTCACAGACGAGCCTCCCGCCTGATGCTTCCCCAAATTCAGGCATCAGGAACCCAAAAGTGACGACAGTTGCAGGTCCGAGGATGACCCGTTCGGATTACCAGCGTGAAGTGCGCTACTCATAGGGAGGGGGCTCCCGCCTGAGACTTCATTGCGGCTCACTCACAGACGAGCCTCCCGCCTAATACTTCCCCCGCATTCAAGCTAGCGAATGAGTGGGTGAGTGAGTGAATGAATGATTGCATAAGTGATGATGATGATGATGAGGATGATGCAGATGATGAGTGAGTGGGTGAGTCAGTCTGTGATCGAGTGATGGTCAAGGTGATCAAGATGGTCTGTGCGTGAGTGAGTGTGCGTGTGAGTGGGTGTGTATTCCCGTGTGTTCTTGCGCGGGGTGTCCAGAGCCAAAAAAGAGCCTCACCCTGGATATGATAGATGATGCTGAGTGATGAGAGAGAGTGTGCGTGTGTGTGTGATGTGCGACTGAATATGATGCTGATGGCGGTGGTGGTGATGCTGATGATGATGCTGTTGATGATGATGATGATGATGATGATGATGATCGATGATCGATGCCCGATGGTGATGGTGATCGATGGTGAATGACCGAGTATGACGATGATGGTGGTGGTGGTGATGATGATGACCGATGGTGATGATGACCGATGACGGGGTGAATGCGTGAGTGAGGCGGCCATCGCCCCGCCCGCCCTCACGGATCGGCCAGGCTCCAGAAATCTGACGTGCCGCTTGAGGTTGGCAGCTCTGGCCGCGTGTTGATTCCCAGCGCCGTGCCGTCTTTTTGTTTCTCTTGCACGTTCTCAGTGGCCTCGTTCCTCCTGGGGTCCTCCTCCTCCCCATCCTCTCTTGCCGTTCTTTTCCCTATGGCGGCCTGGCCTCGTTCGGAGTGGTCGACTCAAGTGCACGGGTCTTTGCCTGTGGATGTCAAAAAAACCAGTGGATTTGCCCGGATGCCCACTTCGAGGACACGCGAAACTGTCGGCCCCCCGCTTCATCCCCTCGGCTTCCCTCGCTCTTCTCCCAAAATACAGCGCGCCGAAATAAGGACCGATTTCGGTCTGGCAGGGGCTCGCCGTTCCTTAGTTCATTCCGTGGCTGCTCCTCAACCCCCCCTCGTGCACCCCAGGCTCTTTCGGCGCCAACAAGGGGCGTCGTTCCTTGTCTGACCTTCCTTATTTTAGCAGTCCCATTGCAACCTTTGCGTCGAATAAGCAAGCGAGGAAAAACCACCCAGACCCCGGCACTTGGCGTTCACTGAACGGCCCTGGGCGTTACGAAACAGCCCTGCCCTGTTCGATTCCCTCCCTGGGTGTGTTTACTAAACGGCTTCGCTTGTCGGGGTGATTGTTCTTGGGGGGAGATGTTCTGCCCTCTAGATTTTCTGCCCTCTCAAGACGAGGTGTGGCCCTTCTGCGCAGAGTCGGATCGTACGGCCGCCGGCCCCGAG